TTTATTTACATCTCTAACAACTAAATTTTAAATTTGACATGCATGCCACCGTACCTTAAAATGATGCTATTTTTGATGTAGTATGAAAAATTCGGGTTGTATAAATTTTAAAAACAATGTTTTGGTGTTAGATATATAAATATGAAGGAATTGTATAGTGTGTATGAATATGCCCCTACTTAGTATTATATTATACTGAAAGCTATCAAAAAAGCTCATCGTTTATAAACAACTCGTATTTGACTTGTTAAACAACTCGTGTTTGATTCGTTTGTTAATCAAACGAGCCGAACACAAACAATTTTTTTGAGCTCGATTATACACGAGGAAAACATGAATAAAAGTTTGTCCGTGCATGTTTGACACGTTTTGACTTAAAATAATTAAATAATTATATTTATTTATAATATTTTATATTAATTTTTATATTTATTAAAAATGCTAAACTTTATTATTTGTAAAAAATATTTGGTTGATATAATTATAAATGGGTTTATATATATAAAGCATAACAAACATTGTTCATTATATACATAGGTCTCAAAATATATTATTTACTGATAAGAGACTCAGTCACCATTTGGTTTAGCGTCTGGAATGCGGTGCGGGGAGCGGTCGTGAATTTTAGCAGTTTGGGACGGCGTTCAAAGAGCGGCGTATCTCTATTTTGGTTAAATGTCGGTCGTGGATTGAGCCCCACGACCCGCGTTCGAGGGTTCACATTTCACAAATTTTACCCTTTGTTGTTCGACGTCGCTCCTTTGATATTCGATCGTACGCATCAGTCGAGGCTTTCGGTGCCCAGGTTCTTCGACAGAGGAGAGAAGAGGTGCTGCAATTTTCCCCTCATGCAGACTGTAGGACGAGCCGAGAGCTTGGGGAAGAAGAAAAGTTTGTGAGTGCCTTGTTGTGCTGGTCACAGAGGAAGAAGGCGAGAGCCTGTTGTGCGACTTGCTAAGGAGGTGGGCTCTCCTTGTCGTGCGGCTCGCTGAGGAAGAAGTATGCCTGATTCGTATATTTGAGTACAATGTAGAGTCTTTTTATAAGGTAAGATCAGCTATTAACTTTAGTCGATTTAAAATTTGCATTTTAAAATTTCAATTATTTATTAATTATTAGGATAAGGAATGTAAATATTAATGGATTTAATTATTGTTTAGAAAGTCCTAATACTAATTCTTACAAATTTTAGGGTTTTTGTTTAATGAAGAAGCAAAGATAAATGAATCAGAACAGAAATTTCAGATGCGAATACTTATTTCAACTATTACACTTACTGTCCTATTTAATTAAAATTAAATGATGTTTACGAAAATTTTAAGAATGTTAACTAATTAAATAAAGCTAATTTCATTTGATTATGACATATAATTGAAATTAGTAAAATAAATTAATAAAATAATTAATATTTGAAAATACATGTTAATTAAGTACTCTTATAGAATGTTAGTTAACAATTCAATCAGATAAATTATATGCGAGAATGTTTAAGTATTAAATATATGACTATGACATTTCTGTTAAAAGCAACATTACTTCGCCGCTGGGACATGACGTTCATTTTTTCAGAAACAACAGTCACACAACTGTTTTTAAACTGTAAATAACAAACATGCAACAAACTTTCCCACAATAGCTTCCCCACAATAACTTCATTGAGCAGTTGCTACAAACTAGCCTATTGGATAAGTTGCAGTTGCTCCAAAAAGACACTCCAATAACGTCTCGGTCTCTCAGACTAGGTTGAAAGTATTATAAATTAGGCGTGAAAAAAAAAAAGACTCTTCTCTGACATTCCTCCTCATCTAAATTAGGAAAGTGATGGTTGCCGGCGAAACTGGCATATGGCGAGACAAAATTCAGGCAGAGAGGAATGTGAGAGAGTTTTTTTTTTTTTGCTGCGCTTATTTTCTAAGCTTTCAATCGAGTTAAATTGAGAGATATAGGCCTTACGGAACCTCTTGTCCGTAAATAATATGTTTTGCGATCTCTATATGTAAGAAATAATGTTGGGTATCCTCTCTATACGTAAAAAACCCAATTATAAAAATATATTTAAGTGTTCGACATGCAAATAAGGAGGATTTAAGTGATATGTATGTAAATATTTTTAAAATGGAGCATGGTTTATTTTTCTAACCACTGGTTTCTCTCATTAGGATTTATACATGTAAATAAAAAGAGTTGGGTCATGGGTGAGGAGATTTTCCATAAAAATACCTCTTCCTAATGTGATATATGTGTAAATACATATGCCTTAGGTGTCATGCAAATACTCTTTTTTCTTTTAGTCCCACATCGCCTTTATGTAAAGTAATTCCAATTAGCAATTATATATAAATGTAAAAACAATATATATTTGCACATTATTAGGAAGTAAAAATAATTCATTTCTTCTTATTTTTGAAGTAAAGGTTCAGGGCTAGGTAGCTTGCTTGTTATTTGATTTGATAATTGGCAATTCAGATGTGGGACTAAAAAGAGGTTCCAGTAAATAGGTAGCATGCAGAATTGCTGTCAGCTCAAAACAGATCGAATGCCCGGAAAATGGCAAGAATTGGTGATAAACTGTCCTGAAATCTACTGAAACTTATCAATTTTTTGCCTCAAAACCAATCTCAAGACGGCAATCGCCATCGTGTTCCTCTTGAATCTGTAAGATGAACAGATCTTGATGAAAACAAAGAAGAACCAGTTGAGAAATTCTCAAAGTCTTTTTAGAATCTGAAAGGGGATTGAGTAGCTATAATGAAAATCTCTTATTTTTCTCAGATGTTAAATACGACGGTCATAAGTAATTATTATTTGATATTCAATACGATAATGTTTTTTATATCGTAATTGAGATAATTCGTTATATTGATTTTTAGATACTCCGTTCGAATATAGAGTTCGTCGACGGCAGTAAGTTGGAGGAAACTGGCAGTTGTGAGTCATCTTCAGCCAATAGCGATCGACGATAGCCGACAACTAGAGAGGCCGGGTCAGCAAATTTAAATATTCTTTTGTTACACTAATCTTCAGGAAACAAATGGGACATATAAGCAATAATTGTTCAAATTTCAAAACTCAGAAAAAGAAAAAAAAAGCGTTTTTTATTTTTTTTGGCATCCACCTGGGGTTGGTTGAACCAGCAACTCAGTCAGGTGCAGATCGAGTCAAATGAAGCGAAGCTAAAACGATTGTCTGAGAGCGAGGGTGAGTTGGGAAATAGAGGAAAGACGGCATCTTCGGTTAGCTGCCTTCCTCAATCCCCTGTCGGATTCCAGGAAGACTTTGAGAATTTCTCATCTGGTTCTTCCTTGTTTTCATCAAGATCTGTTCATCTTACAGATTCAAGAGGAACACTATGGCGATTGCTGCTCTCAGAATGGTTTTGAAGCAAGGGTTTGATCTGTTTCAGTAGATTTCAAGCCAGTTCATCTCCGATTCTTGCTATTTTCCGGAGATTCGATCTGTTTTGAGCTGACAGCAATTCTGAAGGGAAGATTCCATGTGTTTTCCGAATTGGAATCTAGTTCCTCGGCGATTTCTCTGGGGTCAGTGTGCCTTATGATATTATAAGGGAGGGATTTTGTTCTTCCTAGGGTTTTTTCAGATATGGCTGATGATGATTTGATTGAGCTGAAGTTTAGGTTGTTTGATGGTACCGATATTGGACCCAATAAGTACGATCCTTCTACTGCGGTTGGATCTCTCAAGGAGAGCATATTGGCTAGATGGCCCGCCGGTGAGTCCATGGATTTGATTTCTAATCTTGTTTTTGCAGAATTTGAACTGTGAATTTGGCTCATTTTTAGCTTGCGATGAACTTGTAATTTGGATCAAACTTTGATTCTTTCTGAGAAATCGATTTTCGTGAATTTCTGAGGGATGTTTTCATAGAAGTAGGGTTTGGTAAATCATGTGAATCCAGATTTAGAAGAAGTTGAAAGGATTGAAGCCTGAAAACTTTTTAAGTCTTGCTAAATCTCTAGAAGCTTTTTGAATATTTGTTTCAGGATTTAGTGTTTGTGAGATCTGAAATCATTAAATCCAATAAATCTTGTTAAAGGTGGGATTTAATGAATCCAGGATTTAATCATTATTGGAGCAAAATATTAGGATTTAAAGTCTCAAAAAATTATTTTTTATCGGATTTAAGCTTAATATTTCTAAAGGATACTAAACATTTTTCTTGGAAGGAAATGGACTGCTTTTAAAATAGAAGGAGATTTTCAGGACTTCACTCTTAATTCAGTTGCATCCTTTATCTAATTATTTTTGGGAAGATTTACATATACACCGCTCAATTTTTATGTATTTACATGTCTAACACTTAATTTCAACTTTTGCTTACACACATACTACCTTATATATATGCACGAAAAGGTGTATTTTGAAATTTAAAAGTTGAATGATGGTATTTTAGATGTTATGTGAAAGATTTGGGTGGTATTAATGCACAAAAGCAAAGTTTAGGTGTTGGATATGTAACTAAATAGGAATTGGGTGGTATGGTATGTATGTAAATGTCCCAGAGTTATATAATCTGTGGTTTTGTTGTCAAGACTATTTGTAATGTAGCTACAAACTTGCTCGCATGTCCATCTTTTATTTCAGCTGTTTTTAATTCATGAATTTGCGGAAATTTCTTCTCTAAGTTGCATGCTATTCATCCTTTATGTAATCGGGATGAACTATTTTGATTTTGTTGTTTCTTTGACCCATCAAAATTGCTGCAAGAATAGCTGTTTGTCTCAATAGAAAAATAAAAGAGCTACTAGGGGTTTGAGGGTGTGGTGTGTAATTCGTATCTTTTAGTTTCATTCTCATTCCAATTGTCAGCATTTTCCCTTTTTATTCTTCCTGATCCACATATAATTGTACAATTTTTTTTTTCTATTTTAACTAGTTTAACTCTTATCAATGCCATCAACAAATTTTACCATTTGGCACGAACTTTGAGGCATTTTTGGGCAATAAAACTTGAAGCTTGAATAAAAAATCATCCAGTACTCGAATTTCTACAAACCCGCAATCAATCAAAATGACCAGCTCGACGAGACGAACCAAATGACACCGAAATTGATCCAATTCGAGTCAAATCAAAGTTTCAAGTTGTTAAAGCACTTTTGGGAGCTTTGAATAGTTAATTAGATGGTCCAATAGATTCTAAATCTGACAAAATTATCGCCAAATTAAGTGTCTCGATGAGATGAATCCAACGAGTCTAATGTCACTCAATTTTGACATCATTAAGACGCTTTAATACCCATAGAACGTCATCCAATCAAGGGAAATACTCTAGGCCGTTCGATGAAGCGGTATGAATTCCTGCTTTTTTTCAGAGATGCCACTCTCAATATTTATAAATATAACCATATTCCCTTCATGAAGGGGACCTGAAGACCCGAACCTGGACTTGGTGGCTGGATTGGGACTGGAGGAGGGCTGGAATTCGAGAGTTGTTCTAGATTCGAAGACCCAATGGTAATTTTGCCATCTGTATCCTCCGACCACTGTCAACCACCACTCGTCGGTCGTTGCCGACAGCCATCGGCCGCCCTCAACTGTCGCTGTTGGTGAACCTTGCAGTGTATCGAAATACCCCACATACAATGTAATAACATATCCTGAATATGGTGACGCACCTTGGTGTTACGATGCACCACGAATGCAGTGTAACAATGCATCAACAAATATGATATAATGACCCACCCAGATACGGTGTAACAATGCACCTCAAATATGGTGAAACAACATACGCCAATATGAGATAACGAGTAACATCATATCGAAGATCCGATAATAAATATCTGCAATAACTACTTATAATCGTCGTATTTAGAATTTGACGACTTTCTCTGGACTTGAAGTTCCCTTCTTAGGCCTTGTATTGACAAATGATGTTTTTACTGCAACCACCTACCATTGTAGCACCAGTTATGACCTCCGCGACCAAGTGATGCTACTGCAGCTCCCCATTATGACTTACATGACTAACTATGGTCATTTAGAATCATTCCAAAATTGAGGAACCTTCACTTTAAATTTCCAATGCCTGGATTCTTGCTTCACTCTAAGGCTTTCTTTTGATTGAAGTGAAGGAAATGAAATAAAATTCTGATGAAATGGGTTGATTTTGAGTTTAAAACTATTTCTAAGAATATTTTCCAGCACCACCCCCACCCCCCCCCATTTTAAAAAAAATCTCCTTTCATTCAAATTTCCATCATCCAATATGTAAACAGTTTTCTTTTTTATGTTTGAGAAGCATTGGATAATGCTCCGCCTTTCTTGTTATTTTATTCTCTTGTAAATTGACTTGTCACTTTAATTGCATATTTTAACATATTACTTCACCTTCATAATTCTTTTAAATATTTATAAGTCCATTATCCACATTCGTTTATAATCAAAGAAAAATATAGCAACAGGAAACTCGTCAGTCTATTTTGCCAAGTAGTTTATCAATTTTGAAATGCCCATATTGAACAAGCTCACCTCATTTTGTTAAAGAAATTGATTAGATATATATTCAACAATATATATTATTGAAAAATGAAGGGTTGTGTTAGGTAGTCAACAACCAACATAAAATTTGTCAAAAAATCATGACAAAAGTCATTTTAATCAATATGTACACATTAGGGCATCCCCTGGAAGCGACAGACTGTATGACCTAAATACATCAAAAGTGTGCAACGGCCGCTTAACCGATGTCTGGGTGTAGTGTCAAATGAGAAAGGGTTCCCACATTACGGGCGGATGCGGGTAAAGAAGTTAGTCCATTAAACTAATATTAAAATAGGATCTTGGAATATAGATACTCTCACAGGTAAATTAATGAAATTAGTTGATATTGTGATGCATAAAGAGATAAATTTCTTATGTATTCATGAAACTAAATGGGTTGGAGAAAAGAACAAAGAGATTGATAACTTAGGTTTTAAACTTTGATATTCGGGTAAAAGTCGCACTAGAAATGATGTAGGTGCTATTATCAATAAGTGTTTGAAATATAATATTATAAAAATTACTAAAATTAAATATAGAATTATAATTCTTAAGATTATTGTCGATATTAAGATTTTTAATATTATAAGTGTTTATGCTTCGCAAGTAGATTTTGATATAGGTTCCAAAGAAAAATTTTGTAATGATCTAGAAGAATTAATACAAATGATACCTCATGAAGAAAATTTTTTTGTTGGAGGAGATTTAAATGGACATGTTAGTAGAGTGATAGAAGATTTTAGAAATATTCATAACGACTACGGTTTTGGAGTGATTAATGAAGAAGTCATAGTCATTTTAAATTTTTCTTTAGCATATGTTTTTGTTATTGCTAATACTTTATTCAAGAAAAGAGATGAACATATTATTGCTTATAAGAATGAATCTAATAAAACACAAATCTAATAAAACACAAATTGATCACAAATTGATTATTTTCTTATGAGAAGAATAGATCATCGAGAATGTAAAGATTATAAGATCATTCCTAACGAGAATTTAAATACACAACATCGATTATTAATTTTAGTTTTTAAGATAAAGAGTTGTAAAATAAAGAATACTGAGAACCATTGTCGTAGAATTAGATGAGTGAACCTAAAAGACAAAAAAAATTAATATTATGAGTATACTTCAAAATTTTGAGATTTGAGATATTCATGAAGAAGTAAATTCTATGTGTGATAAAATAACAAACACTATCAAATAAGTGTCAAAGATGTACTTGGAGAATCAAAAGGAAAAATGTTTATAAATAAAAATAGTTGGTGGTAGAATAAAAATGTGCAAGAAAAAATAAAATATAAGAATTTATATTATAAAAATTCGTTTAAATATAAAAGTTTAGAGAATCGGTAAAAATATAAAATAGCTCATAGGGAATCTAAGAGAACAATCTGTAATTCTACAAATTCTAGTTTTAGTGATTTTTATAATAGATTAGATACTAAAGAAAGTGAAAAATATATGTATAAATTAGTTAAATAAAGAGAAAAGAAAAATAAAGATGTAACTTAGATATATTAAAGATGAAATTCAAAAGGTCTATCTTAGAAAAAAAATATTCAAAATAGGTGGGTGAGTTATTTTAATAAACTTTTCATTAAAGTTTCTGAAATTACGATCGACTTTATTGATCTTAATGTCGTTAATAACTATAAAATATTTCATTTTTATTGTCTTATTAGTAAAAAAAATAGTTGAGGCTTTAAAGAAAATTAAGGGTGGAAAGTATGTAAGACCTGATGATATCCCAATTAAAGTGTGGAAATATTTAAGAGATTTGAAATTTTCTTGACTCACTAAACTCTTTAATATTATTTTAAAAACTAAAAAGATGTCTGAGGAGTGGAGGAAGAGCATTTTGATCCCCATTTTTAAGAATAAAGGGGATGCATAAGAGTGTGCAAATTATAGAAGAATTAAGTTGATAGTATCATACTTTAAAATTATAGGATAGCGTAATTGAACATAGGTTAAGAAATATGACAAAAGTTTCTCATAATCAGTTTGGATTTATGTCAGGCAGGTCTACTATGTAAGCTATATATTTATTGAGAGGTTTGATGGAGAAGTACAAAGAGAATAAGGAGGATCTACATATGAATTTTATTGATTTAGAAAAATCTTACAATAAAGTTTCAAGAGATATCCTTTGTGGAGTTCTAGAGAAGAAATGTGTTGGTATGACTTGTATTGAAGTCATTAATGATATGTATACTAGAGTTGTTGTGTTCAAACAGAAGGATTGACCAATTATTTTTCTATTTCAGTCGGATTACATTAGGGATTGGCTTTAAGCCCATATCTTTTTGCTTTATTAATTGATGCTCTCATTGGACATTTAGAGGAGGATGTAACTTGGTGCATGATTTTCGTTGATTATATGCTTCTTGTGGATAAGACTAGAGAAAGAGCTTCGGAAAAACTTGAATTATGAAGGTCGACATTGGACTCTAATGACCTTCGCTTGAGTAGAACTACAACTGAATACATGGAATGTAATTTTACTAGTAGTAGCTCTAGTGACAGAGTTATAATTATGGGTGATCAAATTATTAAAAGGTGTGGTGTGAATGCTTTAGATATCTCGGGTCTATTGTTCAAAGTGATGGTGATATAGATGGAGATGTTATTAGTAGAATTCATGTTTGGTTGGTTGAAGTGGAAGAATGCTTCGGGCTTATTGTGTGATAGAAAAGCACCACTTAGACTCAAAGGAAAATTTTATAAGATGTTGGTCAGACCTATAAATTTCTATGGCGCAGAATGTTGTCCTTCAAAAGAGAAGCATAAAATTAAGTTAAATGTTGCTGTAAGTTAAATGTTGCTGAGATGAGGCTGAGATGAGGATGCTTAGGTGGATGAGTGACTGACTTATGTTAAGAAAGACAGAGATAGACGTAGAAAGACTTAGGATTATTGTATAAAAATGATCTTAATTCATTATAGTTAAATAAAAATATTACATTCAATAGGATGCAATGAAGAAAATGATTGATGTAGCCGACTCCACTTAGTGGGATAATGGCTTGTTGTTGTTGTTGTTGGTGTTATTGTTATTGGTAATATTTTTTTATTATTGAATAAGTAGGAGCTAATAAATAAGCATATATGAGAGACAAAAAAGGAAACATATATATGATTTAATAATGCGACAAAGAATATATCTCCGAATATAATCACTTTGTCTCCGAAAATAATCACTTACCTATTGCGTCAAAAATCTCTATGTTTACTCTTGGCAGCATTTAGAAATAAATAATGAAGATTTATCATTTGGACAAGGCTAATGATGATGATGACGAGGCGTACGACTGGGCTTATTTCTGAGAAAGAAGCTGCATTTTCATCATGGAATTGTTTGATTTAGTGTTAGTTTACTTATAATGGAGTGTCTTTTAAAGATTTTATTTGATCCAATACTTCTCTATCTTTGCATAAAGAATGATAATTTTTGCTTTGGTGCTATTTGTGTTATAATTGTATTATTTTTTGTAATTGCTTTTGATTTAATAATTGTTTATTGATAGGCAAACAAATTGTTCCAAAGACAATAAATGATTTGAAGCTTATAAATGCTGGGAGAATTTTAGAGAACAATAGAACCCTTGCAGAGTCCAGGGTACCTGTTGGCGAGCTTCCTGGTGGTGTAATTACAATGCATGTTGTTGTGCGGCCTCCCGCAATCGATAAAAGCAATGGTATTCTATCTATTCTAAATCACTGTCTTTAAATTATCTGAAATTTATTTTTTTTCATTCTTTAGGTTTCATTACAGCATTTTTTTCATTGGGCATTTACATACATACCGCCCAATTTCTATGTATGTAACACCTAAACTTTGTTTTTTATATTTCTACCACCCAATTTTTTCATATCACATAAAAAATATCACTATTTTAACTTTTAAAAAGTGCAAGGCACCTTTTCATGCACGGGTAAAGTTATATGCATTTAAAAATTGAAGTTCAGGTGTTAGAGTGGTATTAATATAAATCTTTTTTTGTCATTAAGTATCAAATCGATGTTCTTTTCTATTCATTCATGTTATAAATTTTCACATTTATAAGGCATTATTTGGTGGCTTGAAGTTAGAAAAAAATTAATGAGAAATTTGTGAATTTGTTGTATCCATATTTATAAGCTATCATTTACCTGGATTTAATTAGAAATTAATTTTAATTTACCATCAAACACACCTCCAAGATCTCTCAGGGTGCGTTTGAGGCAGCTTGTGTGTTTCAGGATAAGATGTTTATTTTGAATCGCGGCCCACGGGCTGGCCGAGGGGCTCGACCCGCGGCCTGCATTTAGTGTAAAAATCCAAACGCGGTTCCAAATAAGTTGGCAAAACGCGCGAACCAAACGGTATGACGGTGTTTTGAAAATGCCACCGCACTTATAAGCTGCCACAAACGGGCCTTTAAAGGCGACAGTGATTTCATTTTTAAACATAAACGAGTAAAAATGATTACACTGAAGCATGCTAAAATATTCATTTTTAAAGGACTATCAATAACTACGGATATTCCTAAGGAATATGTTGTGTTTGTGGAGCCAAAAGCACCCAGATATTCTTTTTCTAGACTAGAAACACGAGCCTAAACGCCCATTGTTAGTTGCGGCTTTTGAAGGGCACGCTTTTGCTCCCACTATGGACGCTTTGCACCCATGTTTGGGCGCAAAAAGAGAAGCTTTTGCACCCCCTTGGGCGCCCAAGAGCTCGTTTTGCTGGGTGTGATGCTTTCTTGCTCAAGAGCTAGGCGCTTTTGCGCCAAGTCCAGCTGCTTTTGTGCCTAGTGCAGCTATCACGATTTTTTGGTTTTTAAACCATAATTCGAGCGGCGCAAAGGCTTGGGGATGTAGTATTTTCTTCTGAACTTCATGGACAAGCATCTCGGTGAAGGTGTCAAAGAGGTGGATTTGTAGGCTTGGGGATGTCGTGTCCTGTAAGTTTCTTTGTGTGTAGAGAGGAAACTGGTATGAGTTCTCTATAAAAACTTTGATTTTCATGGTGAATTTTTGGTGGTGTGACTGTGATGTTTTCCAGTTCTCGGATTTTTTTACGTAAAATTCTCATGTACTTTTCTAGTTGCTTTGATTGTTCTTTTATTTAAATTTTTTTGTTTTGATTTTTTCTCAAATCCCGTGTGATCCTATTATTCCGTACTGTGATTTATTTTTAATTGATCTTATGCCTCGGTAAAGTTGAGAATTATTCTCATTATACTCCTATTAGAATATTGAGTAGAAGGGGTATAAAGAGATTTGACCCAAAATCACTTCAAAGGATGGTCAGTACCCACCATTCGACATATAAGGGTGTACATGGCTTAGGGAGGGTGGCTAGATTTAACTTCCATATCATGTTGAGGAAATATTTTTTTATTATTTATTATGTGAGGCCTACAAATAGGCATACAAAATCATATATAAACAAACAATTAAGAGAGAATAACACTCTTTATTGTGATCATATTAAATTCCATACATTCCACATTCAATATCAGAAATCCTACTTATTTTGCCTTTACCATCTAGTCAAATTTACATACACAGCACACAATTCTTTTGTATTTTCATATCCCACACCAAAACTTTTATATTTACATACTCTGGTGTTTTAAACCTCGGCATGAAAAGTTGTATTTCACTTTTAAAAATTGATAACAATGCTATTGTTGATGCGTTATCAAAGATTTTAGTGCTATGTATGTAAATGCCCATACTATCTAATACATCAACAATCTTCAAAAATATCATTCTTCAATTCCAAGTTCTTTTTTTATATATAAGTTTTATTTTCGCAGCATTATCTCGTCATCTACACCACCATTTTTCTCTTTGCAGAAAAGCAGCTAGCCAATGCCTCAAAGATAAACAGATGTTCATGCTCAATCCTTTGACTAAACTGGATTCCTCCTCTCATTTCAAGCCTCTGTAACTCCTCGCTCTCTGCAATGAACCAGAAATAACTGCAATGGTTCTCAATTATGATCTGCAGTGAGGAAGAAAGAAGAAGAAAGCATTATTGGTATTGTTTGTGTTAAGAACTTGGAATGGTTTGATCACTTTTATACTTTGTTAAGGTGTGAAATGTAAAATGGAGAAATTGTTGAGATATAGTGATTTAAGCAGAGCCTTATATCTCTCAGCTTGCTTCATAAACATAGTGTGCTGCTTTTTTTTTTTTTAAATTTTTTGTCAAAATAAACTGTTATTTATGCAAACAATGCATTAGTATAATGTCTCTGTATATTTTGATGGAGTGATTTAATTTGCAAATGCAACATGTGGGTTCATTTATTGAACTTATTGTTGGTTTTATTGAGTTATAGTTGTGCTTAGGTTTGAACCATTAGTATGCTATATCACAGGCTAGAATATGTGATGCTAAATTTTGTTTTATTGATAGAAGTGTCAAAGTGGGCTCATGATTATTTAAAGGAGGCCATTTTTTGTTTTAGAGTTCATAAAAGTGGGAAATTAGTGCTCATGCTTTTTCAATAAGGTTTGAAATAATGCTCCCTTTAAGTTGTCAAAACCAATAGTTTTATTGATTATAGGATTCAATTTTTCTTGCTATTTTACTTTTTTTTTTATTTTAAAGCATGTTTTCGTTCGATTTTCAAGCTTTGTGAAATGAACCTTCGAAATTTTAGATCATAGCTATTAAGATTGAAGAGCTCTTTGAGATGGTTTTTATATTGTTCGATTTCGTTAAGTATCGAGGGAGATCCTTGCATTTTAGTGCAGATGGTTTTCGATTCATCTTCATTTGGAGAAGATACACCGATGTCGTCCATTTTATTTAACTAAAATGAACGGTTTGGATCATTTTCTGTTGGTGTGTAGGTGTTTGAAACTTCACAATGGATCTAACAATAAATCAATGGCGACCAACCAAGAGGCGACAGTTAGAAGGTAGCGGCCAATGGGAAGCTTACACGTGTTCAAGTAAGAACTTAGAGAATTTCTAGATTTACTAAAATGTTGGAAAAATAAAGAGAATTTTGGAAAACCATAAATAAATAAATACATAAATGTTAAAAATGAAAAAAAAAAATTTTTGTTGAATTCAGAAAAACTAGGAGAATTTAATATTAAATTTTGTTGAATTCAGAAAAACTAGGAGAATTTAATAAAAATAAAATCAAAATATAATACCATCATACATATTTTAATTGATTTTTAAACCATTAAATGATAAAAAAAATCATAAAATACAAAATATAAATCAAAATAAAATGAAATTGCACTTGATTGAACCTATTGACTATATTATACCTCTATAATTTTCTCATAAACCAAAAAAAAAATATTTTGTTGTATTAATTGAAATTTTCTTGTAATTTTGCATTTATTGAAACAAATAATGCCAAAAATTAAAATTAAAATTAATAAAATATGAAAATACTTGAAAATTTTCAAATATTATATGATTGATCAATTCATTCAGTTGGACAGTGACTTTAAAAATTTAATATTAGTTTATTCAATTTCTTTTGAGAAGGGTATGTTTGTAAAGGAAATATTTCTATTTTTAACCTTTCTTGTTTAAAATTGAATCAAATTAGATGATGAATGAATAAAAATTCTAAGATAATGTGAGTCAATTAATTAAGATATTGTAGTTGAATCAAAACTTTGGTTGTGTTGATAAAATGTGCAAAAGGTTATAAGTGCAATTATCAAATTACTGAAAGATTGAAGTTTACAAATTTTTGGATGACTGGTTGATGAATTTTATCCTTGGGAATCATATAACTGTTTGGGGTAGCTGCAACTTATTGAATAATCTACTGATAAGCTGATTAAAAATAATCTGCTAATAAGTTATGTGCAGTGACTATTACAAATTTTTATTTTTTTGGAAAAGCTATATCGCTGTCTAAAAACTGTCACCACACCTAGATAACTGCGGTGTGAAACCGCATAAGCTGTCAAAACGCAGTTTACCCAAACAG